AAAAAATGCATTTCAACATACAGTGTATGTATATATATATATATATATATATATATATATATATATTTTTTTTTTTTTTATTATTATTATTTTATTTTATTTTTTTTTAAATATATTGATTACGGTCAAAATTGTAGGATTTCAAATATATGTCAATATATTTGGGAAGAGTATTTTTAAAATGTATTTGAAATATATTTTTCTTCCATGTGGGAGGTAAGGGTATTGGGGCAAGTTCATTCTATTAAAAAAGAATGAAAGACTTAAGCAATAAGGAATTTGATTAGCTAGCTACTAAAAGTTTTATACGTTCTATAAAACCTTGAAATCAATCCATATGACTCACGGTTTTTAGCTGAAGGGTTAATTTGTTTAGTGAAAGTTCCTCCTTTTCAAAAACAGCTTACATGTCATGTCATTATTGTATTCTTATAATGTAGTATACACTGATCCATACATCTCTTGCTGACTGCAATATTAGAAGCAGAGAATTTGTTAACAATTAGTATAATAAGTAATAAGAGTCAAAGATTTTGGTTCCAATGCTAGACAACTGTACTGTAGCCTCCAGAGAGAGATGACATGTATCTGCAATATCTAAAGTCCACGGTTGGGAATTTCGTTAATGGCATTGGAATATTCTTTTTAAGCCGATCAAGCTATGCTGTTGAAAAGCTTTCAAAGCTTCCTTTTGTATGGCAAGTAGTGCATAAGAGAAGAGACCTGTTATGAAATCACATATTTATTTAGAAACAGCTTGTTGGTGAGTTATATCAAGAAGAGAATCATTTTATTTTCACAACAATTCTTGCTGTTGGGCACCTTGAGTGTTAGAAAAACAAGGGCGTGATTGGGCTGGATGAAAGATTTTATGTCAACAGTTGGTTTACAAGCTAATATATTGCTGCTAGTAAAGAAGTATCTAATGTCTAGTAGGTTTAATGTGTATTGAAGGAAAATGTGCATTTTTATTTATTTTTTTTATCTGTGGGGTAAAGGAAGAAAGTTTGTCCCAAAGAGGTCTGTTTTTCAGACAAAATGCTTGGAATTCAGAATTCAGGGTTGCCAATTAATAACCAAGTCTTTGGCAATGTTTCAGCTATAACCCTGCACCAAGGGCGGACTGACAACTCATGGGGCCCCTGGGCAATAGGGGATCATGGGGCCCCTGTGTCCTTGCCCAAACTCAAAAAAGCCTATGAAAAAGGTACCAGGGGCATCTCATGGGGCCCCCTACTGACCCCGGGCCCTCGGGCAGTGCCCGAGTTTCCAAATGGTCAGTCCGCCTCTGTCCTGCAGCGTCTTTTGAGAGGCTCAGGCCATTGAATCATTCTATCCATATGGCAGGATGTTAGTAGGACCACCAGCTAATCCTACATGGCATCTCTGTACCCAATTGTACCAACAATATTTTTGGTAATATCAAAAACTCATGCCTGAATTCTGGACTTGCTTAGCCAGATCACTCTAATTAGCGAGACACTAGCTGTTGCTCTTACAGAAGTTAATAATATGGAATTCGCTAATCATAAAGAGCTTCAATTTTTCTTTGGGTGACTACCTTCAGGTGGTGAGCCATTAGGACCTCTCTACCCACCCCTCTACACGAACCCCCGGTTCACATATATGCAGCCGTGCGGGCCACGTTTTGCACGGGCACGAGAGCCCATTCATTTGAATGGACTCCTGTGCCCATGACACGCAGGAAAGAAGTCCCTGCACTTCTTCCAAAAATGCAACCCGCACGGGTACCTCGGTTCCCAGTACGGTTGTGTTTTCCAGTGCGGGCTGCCTGCCATTAGCACTAATGGCACCCGCCCACGGGTCTGCATTTCTCTGTGCGGGTGGTGCGGCTGCATGGATTTTTGTGTGGATCCGCAGCACCACCACCCGCACAGATGTGAACCTAGGGTAAAAGTCCCAGGATCTGCGCTGACTTACAAAACAACTGTGTTAAAGTATATTGAAACTCTCACCTTGTAAAACGACTCATACATTTTAAAACATAAATTAAAGGTAAAACATTTGTGTATAGATACAAGATACATTCCAAATACCCTTTTCCCTTTTTTAGAAGTGATTACATACCCTCTGTTCCCAGCTGCGTAAAGTGGTAAGGGTCCTTTCACATGGGCGTTACATTTTTTTACAATTTACAGTTGTGACCAAAATTATTCAACCCCCACTGAAATTGAGTGTTTTGGCCAGTTTGACATTGCTTTTGATCATTCAGTCATCTTGCTTACATTTACATTAAAGAGGCACTTGTAGGTCAGACAAATATAACATAACAGTTATAATGAAATAACCACAAATGTCTTTTCTGTGCTCACAGCATTATCAGTTTTATTCAACCCCCAAGTGACATTCAATCTTAGTACTTAGTACAGCATCCTTTTACAGTTATAACAGCTTTTAAACGTGAAGCATAGCTTGACACAAGTGTCTTGCAGCGATCTACGGGTATCTTCGCCCATTCTTCATGGGCAAAGGCCTCCAGTTCAGTCACATTCTTAGGCTTGCGCACTGCAACTGCTTTCTTTAAGTCCCACCAGAGGTTCTCAATCGGATTTAAGTCTGGTGACTGCGATGGCCACTCCAAAATGTTCCAGCCTTTCCTCTGCAACCATGCTCTAGTGGACTTGGAGGTATGCTTGGGATCATTGTCCTGTTGAAAGGTCCAACGTCTCCCAAGCCTCAGGTGTGTGACGGACTGCATCACGTTTCCATCCAATATCTCCTGGTACTGAAGAGAATTCATGGTACCTTGCACACCTTCCCTGTACCTGCAGAAGCAAAACAGCCCCAAAGCATGATTGACCCTCCACCATGCTTCACAGTAGGCAAGGTGTTCTTTTCATCATAGGCCTTGTTCTTCCTCCTCCAAACATAGCGTTGATCCATGGCCCAAACAGTTCTAATTTTGTTTCATCAGTCCACAGAACACTATCCCACAACTTTTGTGGTTTGTCCACATGGCTTTTGGCATACTGCAGTCGACTCTTCTTATTCTTTGGAGACAGCAAGGGGGTACGCCTGGGAGTTCTGGCACGGAGGCCTTCATTACGCAGTGTGCGTCTTATTGTCTGGGCTGAAACTTCTGTACCCACATCTGACAAATCTTTTCTCAGTTCCTCAGCAGTCACACGGGGACTTCTCTCCACTCTACGCTTCAGGTAGCGCACAGCAGTCGAAGTCAGCATCTTCTTTCTGCCACGACCAGGTAGCGTTTCAACAGTGCCCTTTGCCTTGAATTTGCGAATGATGCTTCCTAAGGTGTCTCTTGGTATGTTTAACATCTTGCAATCTTCTTATAGCCATTGCCCTTCCTGTGAAGAGAAATCACCTCTTCTCTTGTCTTCCTGGACCATTCTCTTGCCTTCACCATGTTTGTAACCACACCAGTAAATGTCTAGAAGGAGCTGAGTATCACAGTCATTTTAAAGCTGCCTAATTGGTGCTTATTATGCTTGATTGCTGCTCGGTGACATCCACAGGTGTTTTCAATACCTGATGGAAAGCACCTGTATGAACCTCTGTTCTTCAGAGTGGTAGTCTTTAAGGGTTGAATAATTGTGGCAATGAAGAAACCACATAAGAACCATTTACTACTGTATTACATAAACAATTGATGTCATTTTAGTTGCATTTGGGTAGTTACAACGTCCTTGTAGGATTTGATTCTGAATACAATTCCAAATGTACACTATAGTCCCTAAACCCCTTTACAGCATTGGGGTTGAATAATTTTGGTCACAACTGTACATCTGTTTTTTCATCCGTTTACATCCATGTTTTCATTTGTTTTTTTCATCCGTTTACATTGGTTTACATCCGTTTTCATCCCTTTTAGATCTGTTTTCATCCGTTTACAGCCGTTTTGTGATCCGTTTACATCTGTTTTTTTATTAGTTTTTTCATCCATTTTTCATCCGTTTACATTGGTTTACATCCGTTTTTTCATCCGTTTATGTCAGTTTTCATCCTTTTACAGCTGTTTTTGGTCCGTTTACATCTGTTTTTTTTTGTCCATTTCGGGTTTTTTTTTCCATTAAAAAAAAAGAATGTTAACGAATGCGGACATTAACGAATGTAAAAGGATGTTCATCCGCTTACATCTGCAAGTCCATAGAAATACATGGGGGTCTGTTTTTAATCCGTAAACGGACAGGTGAAAAACGCACATACGGAATGCTCGTGTGAAAGGACCCTTAGGAGAAAGCATAACACTGATCATCCCAGTGAATGACTGTGCAAGGGGAAGGGGATGTCAGGACAAGTCTGATCACTGGAAGAAAGCAGACTGAATTCCCCGCACAGCTAAAGAACTAACCACACTGTGCTCTCATGCCTAGTGTAGTCACTTTGTAATAGGAAAGCAGAGGGACTCGCAAGGAACATCGCAGATTTCACACAAAAGAAGCAATACAAATGGAACAGGATACTTTTTAAAACAAGGACATGGTACAGCAGGCACATACCAGTATTATGAAATGTTGGGTTTACATATTCTTTAACCACTTGCCTCCTGAGGATTTACCCCCTTCCTGACCAGGCCATTTTTTGCGTTATGGAGCTGCGTTACGTTAACTGACAATTGCATGATCATGCAACACTGCACCCAAATGAAATTTATGTCCTTTTTTCCCACACGAATAGAGCTTTCTTTCAGTGGTGTTTGATCGCCTGTGTGGTTTTTTTTTTTTCGGCACTATAAAAAAAAAAAAAAAGACTGACAATTTTGATAAAAAAAAAATATCTTTGACTTTTTGCTATTAAACATGTCCAGTAAAAAAAAAAATATAACATTTTGTCATACATTTAGGCCAAAATGTATTCTGCTACATATCTTTGCTTAAAAAAAAATCCAAATACATGTAAATTAATTGGTTTACGTGAAAGTTATAGTGTTTACAAATGGCAGTATATATATTGCTTTTAAAAAATTTAAATTTTTTTTACTACTAATGGCGGTGATCAGCAACTTATAGTAGGACTGCAGGACTTTGGTGGGCATTCTGACACTGGGGGAACTGACTTGGTGTCACTGACATCCCTAGTGATACCAATACAGTGATCAGTGCTAATAAAAAGCACTGCCACTGTACTAATGGCACTGGGCATGAAGGGGTTAACATCTGGGGCGATCAAAGGGTTAACTGTGTGCCATTTTACATGATGTTCTGTGTTTGTGCTTCACTGTAAGCAACTGCTTTGCATGGCTGTGCTGTGCAGTCCCTCTGATCCCTCATCAGCCTTTGGGGACCCTAGGGAACATCTGCAGGATACCCAGTAACATCACTTCTCTTTTTAGTATAAGGACACATAGAGGATACCAGCATGATGTCAAATCCATGGCAAGCTCACCTTAGGAAACAAGCTGGAGTTTTATAACCAAAAGAATCTGCTACGATACTCTGCAGGGCAGTTTTAGATATAATATGCACTTTTCCCTCTATGCTAAGTATAATATTCTCACATTTGATTGCCATTTGTTTCACAGCTAGCCTTGTCCTGAGTAGCTTCTCCAAGAGCTTTCCTTTTATTACTTTTATTTATCCTTTTATTACTTTTATCCTTTTAATTTTTTTATTAAGTTTATTACTCGTGGTACCAAACCCAGAGTGATCGAAAACATCTGTCTCTATTGTACAGACCAAAGGATATCTGTACAATAAACTACAGGTATCTTTTCTACATAAATAAATTCTTAGCACTTGTAACACATTGTAACACAGATATCTTTTTGATATAGAAAAACTTTTAGCACTTGTAACAAGAATAGTTACATCAAAGTTACTTTTATTTTGGCCTAGATCTCTTCTTCAGGTTTCATATGTATAAAGACTGCATAAGGGATCTATGTTTTCCCAAAGCTTGCCTCTTTAATAAGTTAAGTTAGCCAATTTCTGCATTAATCAACATGGTACAATACTCTACCACTGTTATTTTGACCTAAAATAGCACTAATATTTTGTCCAACACTATACAGTCCATCATTTGATTTTTTATTATTATTATTATTATTATTATACATTATTTATATAGCGCCAAAAGGTTTGCTCAGCACTGTACATTATAGTGGGGGACAGAACATGAGACAATACAGTAACAATACAATACATGAGGGGTTCGAGGGCCCTACTCTTTCGAGCTTACAATCTAGGAGGGAGGGGATAGTGGTACAGGAGGAAGTGGCTGTGGGGGATGGAGTAGTAGGAGTGTACAGTGTAGATCAGCAATTAGGTGAGGGTGAGGTAGGCTTCCCTGAAGAGATGGGTTTTCAGGGTGCGCTTGAAGGTGAGGAGGGAAGGTGACAGTCTGATGGATTGGGGTAGAGAGTTCAAGAGGATGGGGGAAGTCCTGGAGAAGTCCTGCAGTTGGACGTGGGAGGTGGAGACCAGGGAGCTAGAAAGTAGGAGGTCTTGTGAGGATCGAAGATTACGGGTAGGGTGGTATTTGGGTATCAGGTTGGTGAGGTAGTTTGGGGCAGCGTTATGAATGGCTTTGTATGTCAATGTTAGTAGTTTGAATTTAATGCATTGGGCAATCGGAAGCCAGTGGAGGGAATGACAGAGGGGGGTGGCAGATACGGAGCGGTTAGTAAAGTGGATGAGTCAGGCCACTGAGTTCAGGATAGACTGAAGCGGGGATAGTCTGTGATGAGGTAGGCCGGTGAGGAGGGAGTTGCAGTAGTCCAGACGTGAGATAATAATAAAAGTTTGCATTCTCTAACAAATTAGTTTTATAAAGTACTGTGTTTGAAGTGATTGTAAACCTCAAACATGAAATATGAGCAAAGCATATCCCTCTATAGTGTGTATTTGTTGCAATTAAGAGCACTAAATGTCATTTCTGTCTGCTGTCTCATTCCTCTGCTGTCAGCATGAATCACTCCTGACAAGTTATCCTGACACCAAGAGAGAAATGGTGACAGTGAAGGGAACTTCAGCAGATTGGCAGCTTCAGCTGTGTGTGTGTGTCTCTTGCCTCCAATCAGCTCTGAGAGCTCTCCTCAGTGAGCTCTACAGAGTGTAATTTTTTTCTGAACTCCCAGACAAGCTTTATAAGTTCAGCACTTTGAACAGCTATAGAGAAGAGAAGATAAATAGGTACAACTTATGTAGGATGATTTGTTTCATCTCTGTGTATCGCCTGAGGCCAGTCACTTCACTGGATATACGCAAGGGTTTATAACCACTTTAAATGAATAACAAAAAAGAATTCATTGGTTTATATACAATAAGCAATCATTATAGTCTAGATTCATTCAGAAAACATATATGTCATTTTTCATGGACATCACATTTCTCTGTTGTAGTGATTCCTAAATAACTGAATAAAAGATCTCTCTGACACTGTATCTGTATTTTCACCATAATAAGTCGCTCATTTAATTAAAACAACAAGCTCCTTTCACACTTTTATAGAATATGACATTTCAATTTTGTAGAAATAATTAGTTTGCCGTCAAAAATTTGAAATCCCCACACTAATTAATCACTTAGCATTGCTGGCAGATCCTGTGTGTCTAATCAGGCTGCTATTAATTGCCGTGTATGTGCGATATCTGACAGGCAAGCAGTGTATATCACAGTGGGTATGAATAAATGTTGGACAGCCTTTAGATTAGGCACAGTAGGGTTGATTTCCAAGAACTGGAAAGTGCAAAATCTGGTGCAGCTGTGCATGGTAGCCAATCAGACTCTACCTTTAGTTTGTTCAATTAAGATTTGACAAAAAAAAACAAAACCTGGAAACTGATTGGTTTCTATGCAGAGCTACACCAGATTTTGCACTTTCCAGGTTTAGTAAATCTAAAATGACACAATTTTAGAGCAGAATTGCACATATACTCTTTATGGATAAATATATAGAAAGTGCAGTGCTAAAATAAGCGAATGATATTATAATGAAAATAAAGTGACATATAGCAGGGAAAAAAAAGATCAGCGGAGCAGTCAAGTGCAGCATATAAAAATCAAAATATAAAAAAATGTTCAATAAATCATTTAATAAATGTGAAACAGTAAAGTGCAGCATAAAAGTGAGAATATATAAAGTCCATAAAATATCAGTGGAGTAAGAGCTATAAATTGTCCGTAAGGATATAAGTACGGAAATCATGGTGAAATATTGTGAAGTGATCCAATAGGGAATCCACCACCTCTGTCAGATGTACATTCACCAGACATCTCATCTGGGTACAGGTAACAGCAATGAAGCCTCTGCAAGGGATGGTCAGCCAAGTGCAAAAAAAACGCAGGTGGACCCTCTCCTATGAGGAATAGCTCACCACAGGAGCCAAAAGTAGTATATAGTGTAGTACTTTATTAAATAATGAATAAAAAGACAATCCACGTGGAAACAAGTAAGAATGAAGGTAAAATGGGTTGAGTACCAAGATGGCCTCCGTTCTGACCTTCAGCAAAGGCGGAGTGACGTCAGCAAGTGCAACTCTTGCTTTTTAGTGCAATGGACCTTTGTGCTGTTACCACCAAGAACCCTCTGTGCATTGAGTTTGCATGATACCCTCCTGTGTAGGCTTCCTCTTAAATCTGGCCTAAAATTACTTCTGAACTATATTTGATTGTATTGTGTGTTTTTGTGAGTTTGAGTCCTTGTGAGGAGAGGGACACATTTTGCACAGCAAGCTTTTAGTGTATCCATAGCCAAAACTTTTTTTTTTCTAACTTAGAAAGTCATTTTGGGGGTTCAAAGGTTTTCCTTTATTGGGGGGGGGGGGGGGGAGGGGGGTTGATACTGCTACTGGAACATTTTTTACCTTAATGCGAGGAATGCAAAAAATTGATACTAAACACCGACTGCTAAATTTACATGATCTATTCTATTTCTGCATGATGGATGATGGCACTGTAATTATATAAAAAAAAAAATCTAAGTACTATTTTCCTAATTGATATACAGCTGTTACATAGTTAGTCTGGCTGAAAAAAAGACAAAAGTCCATCCAGTTCAACCATTAAAAAAAAAAAGTTATAATCCTATACCCACCATTGATCCAGAGGAAGGCAAAAAAACCAGCAAAACACGATCCAATTTGCTGCTGCTGGGAAAAAAATTCCTTCCTGATGCCCTGAGAGGCAATTGGATATTCCCTGGGTCAACTTTACCTATAAATGTTAGTATCCAGTTATATTCTGTGTATCTAGGAATGAATCCAGGCCTTTTTTAAAGCAATCCACTGAGCTGGCCAGAACCAACTCTTGAGAATCCAACTCGTGAAATGACCCATCTCTTTCCCAGCCTGTCTTCAGGGAAACAGTGGCAGGGGGAGCTCCTAATCCTCTGCTGCTGGTCACATGTTCAAAATAAAAAAACAGCCTTTGGAATACAGAGTAAGGCCCCATGTACACGGGACACTTCTGAACGATGGAAACTGACTGCTGGAAAATGTAGGTTAAAAAACGTCTGTTTAGCCACGTTTGCATAACGCGTTTATGCGTGTTTATGTGCGTTTGCGTTTAGAAGCGTTTTTTAAAGATAAGCACAGGAGAACCTCCCAAATGCCCAGAATGCACTGAAAAGTGGGAAATTATTAACTATTTCAGACTGTTTCAGAGAAATACAGAGAGTAGAAGCAGAGACAGCAGTATGTGTAGAGATTAGCTTAGGTGTGAGTTGCTCATCAACATTTCTTTTGTTTCCAAGGGTGAGAAGGTGGCTGGTGGAGTGAGTCATTAAGGTCACCTGGCAGGGGGTCTTCATGAGGAATTTGAGGTGTGAATGGTCATTAACATATCTCATGTTTCCAAGGGTGGGAGATGTCTGAGGTGTGAATTGGTCATTCCAATGTGTGACAAGCTTGGTAGGAACATCCTGTGTTCAGTGTTTTGTCCATCTGAGTACCTTGTAAACGCTTTGCATGCACTTTTCATGATGAAAAAAGGCTCTGGACAGCATCGGGAACTGGAAGAGCTAAAAAAAAAATTAAACCGCAAACGCTTATAAACGCGATTTGCCATGTTTACAAGCATTTGTAATTGTAAAATGATAAAATTGATGTCTGAACGCAACTTTGTTGCGTTAAAAAAAAAAACCCTGTAAACTCAACTGCCTGTAAACGACTGTAAACGACATAGTGTACATGGACACATAGGAAAACATTAGGGTGAGTTCAGGGGCTGCTGAAAAAAACGCTGAACAGCTTACATTAGGAGACAGCCAAACAGATTGCAGTAGGGAGTTTCATAGGATGGGAGAAGCTTGGGAGAAGT